TATATTGATGATCTATATTAATATATAGATACGAGGCATTTGAGAAAACGGTGATGGTTGCGCCCTCTAGTGAACGCAATGAAGGATTTCGGTTTCAACTTTTGCAGATGTGTCACAGGAATACTGTGTCACAGGAATACTGTGTCACAGGAATACTGTGTCGCAAGAACACTGTGTCACAGGAATACTGTGTCACAGGAATACTGTGTCACAGGAATACTGTGTCACAGGAATACTGTGTCACAGGAATACTGTGTCACAGGAATACTGTGTCACAGGAATACTGTTTCACAGGAATACTGTGTCACAGGAATACTGTGTCACAGGAATACTGTGTCACAGGAATACTGTGTCACAAGAATACTGTGTCACAGGAATACTGTGTTACAGGAATACTGTGTCACAGGAATACTGTGTTACAGGAATACTGTGTTACAGGAATACTGGGTCACAAGAATACTGTGTCACAGGAATACAGGGAGGTAAGACAGTAATAAGGACAATAAATGCGTGTTTATCATTATAATTATGCAATAAAGGTGATCAACTAGACTCGAGTATGCGGAAAAGTTATATATAGGTACAAATATTATAGGTTCCCAAATGTCATGGAGCCAAAACCGTAGGTCGATGAATTTTCCAGCATTGAAAATGTTGAGGAATTTGTTGATGTCAGTGATAATTCAAATGTTTAATATCTGTAGCCGACAAAACATTTAAGTAAAGCAGGTGCTGAAACATACGCTATATTGCAAAGTCTGAGTTGGTTTACGTTTTTAATAACTTCGAATAAACAACTTTAATAAAAAAAAAGTATCTGTTCCCTGTCTCGGAATTTTGCATGTAATCGTGCAAATGTAACAGAAGGACTGATTTTTTGCTTTTGCTTCTAATTCCAATTCATGTTCTGCTGTTTAGATGCAGAAAAGCAGGGAGTGCGGATAAAATGGAATTAATTCGATTAATTGCTAAACCATTCCTTCCTCCTTGTTTGATGAAACCAGTTCAGTATACCCGGTAATTAATCACACTCTGCATCCACACTGCTTCTGCCATGTCTTGTTTTCTAATGATACTAGAATTGAATGCATTACCTTCCAATTCCATACTGGAATTTCCTTTAGCTTCCTTCTTCTCGCTAATAGTAAAATGGAAATATTTTGCTGCTGCAATCAACAGTTACAGGATCCCTCGGACTACGAAAAACATTCTTCATTAGAATTATTGACAACACATCATGAATTATGAATTATACAACACACATTCACACATTATATATATGTCACACATTATATATGTCAGACATATGTCACATATTATATATGTCACACATACAACACACATTCACACATTATATATATCAACACACATTC